GTCTCTGTCTGTCTCTCTCTCTCTCTCTCTCTCTCTCTCTCTCTCTCTCTCTCTCTCTCTCTCTCTCTCTTTCTTGCATATTGTTGGTACTGCCGGTGGTTTTTAACCTTTTGTGTAACATGAACCAACTGTGTATCTTCTCAACAGGAGAGGATCTGCAGTCGAACTGTAGTCGAATTTTAACAGAAATGGGTGTTTGTGGCATGTCATTTGAGGAAATCGAGCAAAAGATACGGGAGAAAGAGGACGATTTGGAAGATCAGAAGTCCAGATTGGCAGGACGAGTTGAAGAGGTAGGTCCTAGCTGGCGTCAGGCTGAAGACTTCAGGTGAATCGCGGTTGTCAGCACATTATAGGCCCAGATCTAAGACTATTCTGGCAAAGCTACCCCGTCAACTTGATTATGGTTTCGTAGGGGGGGGGGGGTTCAACCCCCGTTTCATAAATGCCCGGTAATTCAAGAAGCAATAGTGGCGTTATATTGCGATTTCTGCAATAAGAATTTCATGAGAACTTCGTCTAAAAATGTAGGTTGAATCGACTTGGGACCATTATATTACAAGGGTCAAATATTACCCATTATATCAGACTACATGAACTTCACAAAAAGCGAGAAAATACAACTACTGTTCAAAACAATAGAATGTACTGCCGCAAGTTGAGCAAGCAGACATTGGCTGGAAATCTACAACAGCAGAAGTAAAAGGAAATGTGGAGAGCAAAGTAACACAGCTTTATCTGTAATTCTACACAGCACTGAGGAACACACTGTTGGGACGTCTTTAAACAAGACAGTGAAAACAATTTTTAGTTATAATATGCTTGCTGTCATAATTTGTATACATTCCTTATTCATGCCCCCCCCCCCCTCCCACCTCAATCTCCCTTTCGACACAGTTCATATCATTATGGGGAAGGCTGTTTCAACCTTGCTTGTCAGAGCCCCGTAGCCTACTGTGTAAAAAGTGTAGTTGTATGTGTATGTCTTGTCGCCCCTATCAACCCCATTTGGTTATTTAATAGGCGGGACTTCTGATTTAACGTCCGTCTCTGATAGGACACAGCCAAATGGGGGCGAAACTGAGAAAGCCTAAGTCGAGAGCCTTGAAAACTCAACAAAACGACCCGAGTTCAAGAACGCCCAGTCTGGGATTTGAACCAGAGCCATCCGCTCCGTAATCCAGCATGATAGCAGCTGAGCTAACAGAGTGCCCCTTTACTGTGTGGGATACATCCTCACAGAAAGATATAGAAAGGCATAGGTACTCTATGCAATGTTTTCTCGCTTGGGAATCGAACCCATGTACTCTGCGCCCGAAACAAAGATCCTATTAACTTCTTCTCATCAGATGTCTGTGCCGAGTTCTATGACATTACGGTTAATGACAGGTTGCATCTTCAACATCATTGCCTTTCTCACCCTTTACTTTCTCTATCCTAGACAGGCTCTTCATGTCTTCCCACTTTTTTGTACATCAGTTTCTGAGGTTGCATCATACATCTTCTGTTTCTACATTTACCATGCATGCTTTATCAGAACGAGCAAAGAACAACTCCGTTTCCCTTGTTTAAACTAATTATACAATTTAGTTCACTAAATACATTTTGTAAATTATATGCCTATACACTGTAGCTTTGGATTGTCTACATTATAGGGCCACCAGACCTCAGAAATAGAAATGCCATGAAAGTAAGGAATGGAACATTTTGATCTAGTAATCAGTATGCTCTTGAGATACGTTCTCAGTCTTGGAACGATTAATTGTCCATTCATATGGTGTGGTGCGTACATCCATCTTCGACGATAGTGCCGGAATAAATCGCCAGTTACCTTTAACTTTTAATGTGATTTGTGTTTAACGATTCTTGAATCCTAGTCTAGCTTAACTAAACGATTAAAACAATACAAAACGAAGCCCAACTCTGCTGGGATGAATTAATGAGATTTTTTTAAAAATTTTAATTAATTTTTTTT